AAGAGCGGAAATGTATACAACCCTGTTGCTGAGCCACTTGGCGGGTGGAGTATTGGGGTAATCCCTCTTTCCCACTCTCTTCTTTTTTATGCCACTGTGCATGTATTGGGACGCAACTACGTAAAGAAAAGAAGGTTTTGTATTTGTTTGCTCCCCGCTGGACGCTAACGGGGCCTTGCAAAACAGGGCATGCTTCCCTTTCAAGACTTGACTGAAGCGGGGAAGGGAAAATCAGAGAAAAAAACCCTTCAGTTTATCTGTTACCCATTTTTCTACCTCGACGGTGTGCCGGCGGCGGCGTTTGCCGGTGCTTATTTTCTCCTTTTTTCCTCCCGTGCTCGGGAGGCATGTGTGCACGGCTTCAAAACTGCTGTTTGCTTCTTTTCCTTCTCCATTCCTTTTCTTTTGCGCCCGTCTTTGCGCAAACCGTACACGGCGCTGTTGGGTTGCCTAGAGGAGGAAGCGAGAGGGTAGTGGCTAGGGCTGCTGCCGCCGCCATTGTCACAATTGGCCGCTTGAGCGAGGAGGCAGACCGGGTAGTCATTTTTTCGTTTTGTTATTTTGGTTTAGAACGCGGCGAGGAAGGGAAGAAGAGGGTGGACGAGTGACGGACAAGACAGCGCGATTGTGTTTTCCCGCTTTCGCTTTGGGTCTGTTAACGTGTGTACCCACACGGCACAGCCATCTGGAGTCCGTATTTACAGCAATTAAATTGTGGAAAGGATCCCTCTTTGTTTTTGTTTCGAATTGGCTTTCTGACTATTGCTCTTCCATATTCAGTTCCTGTCAGTCTGCGTGCATAGCATGGACGCGGAGCAGGAGCGGCTGGAGCCTGATGAAGAACAAAATGTGTCACTGCAGGCAGAACCAACACGCATTGACTTTGACGAGGGTTACTACGTTGGTACCGTCGACGAGGATGGCCACATGTCTGGTTACGGCAAGGCTGTTTGGATGAGCGGTGACACGTACGTGGGAACGTGGCTCGGTGACACCATGAATGGCCGTGGTGTATACACCTGGGCGGACGGCGACTGCTACGAGGGTGAGTACAAGAATGGTCTACAGAACGGCTTTGGCGTTTTGAAGGATGCTACAGGCGTTTACACTGGAGAGTGGGTTGACGACATGCGCCAGGGTCTTGGGAAGATGGAGTACGCTTGCGGGAGCGTGTACGAAGGAGAGTGGGTTGCTAACATGCGCCATGGAGAGGGCAAGCTCACGGAGGAAAATGGGATTGTGTATCACGGTGAATTTGTGCGAAACGAGAAGGAGGGCAAGGGGGTCATGACGAATGCGGAAGGGGATGTGTACGAGGGTGAATTCGCTAATGGAAAGCCCAATGGTAAGGGCACGTATATTTGGGCGGATGGCGCCAAATACGTCGGCTCCTTTAAAGATGGCCTTAAACATGGGCAGGGCTGTGAGTGGATGGCAAACGGCGATTGGGTTGCTGGCGTTTTTGTGAATGGTGAACACGATCAGCAGCAGGCCGTACACAAAGCCGTCGTTACAGACGAGGACCCTTTCCTTGACAAAATAGACCCTGCCGTTTTGACGGCTTTAGATGCGCAAAAGTTGCTCATGATGTCGCAGGGCAAATTCCCTAGCGATGATAAAAAATCTTCCAATAATTTAACTGCCTTAGGCAGCGTCACCGACATGGCAAACGGCACTTCACGAGGGAGCAATAATGGCAGTAGTAGTCTCCTAATGGCAAAAAGTCTGACGCAGTCTGAGCACGGAGACACCAGTAGTCATACCGCCAGTCCCGTGGGCACACCTTTGCAGCAGGGTCGTTTAATGCTTACCGATGCGGATTTAGAAGGCTGGCGGCAAATGAAAATTATCGGAAAAGGCAGTTATGGGGCGGTCTATGAAGCCCTTCTTGTGAGTGGGCGCACGGTGTGCTGCAAGGTGATTGAGTTGGGCTCCCTCACTGACCGCGAGGAGATGGATAAGCTGCGAAATGAAATTTCCTTGATGAAACGACTTCATCATCCAAATATTGTGCAGTATTACGGTTGTCAGGAGGATAGAAGTAAAAACACGCTGAACATCTTCATGGAACTTGTCAGCGGGGGGTCACTCAACACGTTTGTAAAGAAATTTAAAACCATACCCCTACCGACTGTGCGTCAGTGGGCGTATCAAATAGTCTGCGGGGTGAAGTACCTGCACGATTGCGGCATTGTGCACCGCGACATTAAGGGTGACAACGTCCTGGTCTCGCTCGACGGGATAATTAAAGTAGCGGATTTTGGGTGTAGCAAAGCCATTGACGACGTGTGTAGTAAAACGCACGGCTGCCAGACGATGGTGGGGACACCGTACTGGATGGCCCCGGAGGTGATCAAGTGCGAGGCTGGCGGGTATGGCATGAAGAGCGACATCTGGTCGATCGGCTGCACCGTAGTGGAAATGATCACAGGAAGACCCCCGTGGCCGGAGTGCAACTCCATGTGGGCTGCGGTGTACAAAATAGCGCACTCGACGGGCCTGCCCACGGAGATCCCAAAAGACCTGGACCCAAGGCTTATGAGCTTTCTTGAGCTGTGCTTCGAGCGTGATCCGAAGAAGCGCCCAACGGCAGAGCAGCTATTGCGACATCCATTTTTGGCGCTTTAGGTAGTAACGATGAGGAACAAATAAAATAAAGAGAACGAGCGAAAAGGGAAGAAAAGTTGTAGAGAAGAACCTACTCCGAGTTAAGGCTCACAGACGCCTAATCTTTCCTCCGTGATTTGCGTTCTGCAGCAGGGCCCGGGATGAGGCGCGGAGGCCCCAACGTGGTAACCGATGATGATAGAGCGGACATGCAATGGTCGGCGTTTATCGAGAAGGCTCGCGTTTGCAGGGGGCGGCCACGGGAAGCGGAAAAAAAAAGAGAGTGCGAATAGTACGCAAAACCGCAGCCGAAGCAAAAGAGTCAGAAAGCAAATATAATATAAACGGCGTGTCATGTGTGCGCCCTAAATTGTTTCACAGCACTATGTTTTTTTTCTCTCCTTTTTCGTTTGCTTTAGCACTCACCTTTCCAATTTCCCACTTCCTTCTCCACATGCCCCTCACGATTTCCCACTCCAGCGCGCGTCTTTTTCCTACTCGGGCTTTTTCCACAGGCATGCCGTGCAGATGACAGCAGGAGGTGGCGCAAAGTAGGGAAGGGTGACTCGAGAGAAAGGAGTAAAAGAGCTTCCGAAGGAGATGACTGCTATTGACGGTTGTTTTGCTCGTCTGTGTGCGTGTGTGTGTTGTTTTTTTTTGTGTTGTATGTGTTTCATCCTTATTTCTTCTTTGTTTATTTTTCTTTTTACTTGTCGTGGTTGTTTCTTCTTCGTTTCTTGCCATGTTTTGTTTCGTAAAGAGCATGACAACTGCAAAAAAAAAAACAATAATAGCCAAAAAAAGAAAAACAAAGAAACTATTTTAGGGCTTTGATTCCCCTTGTATACGTGGGTGGGCCCTGGAGGGGGAGGGGGAGAGTAAGTTGAAGGGAATTTGTCCCGGCAAGGAGAGAAGAAAAGAGAAGCGAGGCCTCTGCGCGACACTCCCCCCTCCCAGTCCAGCTGTGCATCCGAGATCTCAACAAAGCAGCTCGTTGCCCGCGTTTGTTCCTGCCACTTTCCCTTCTTTTTTTTTCTGCTAACCGTGGCGGCGGCGGTAGTTGCAGTGGAGGCCTACACACACACACACACACACACACACGCACACGCACACGCACACGCACGCACACGACGGGGGCGGGGAGGCTATGCGTGTAAAGAGCATCGTCATTGACGGCTTCAAGTCCTATGCCCATCGCAAGGCCCTTGACGACTTGAGTCCGCACTTCAACGCTATTACCGGCCTCAATGGCAGTGGAAAATCAAATATATTTGATGCAGTGTGCTTCGTCATGGGCATCACCAACTTGAAACGTGTTCGTGCGGAAGATCCGCGGGAACTTATCTTTCGGGCAGGCACCACAGGTGTTCATGCGGCGCGTGTCACGATTGAATTTATTAACGACGACTCTCGTACGGCGCCGCCAGGCTACAGCTGTGAGGAGTATCCGATCATCACCGTAGGGCGGCAGATTAAGCTGGGTGGGAAGCAGCAGTTCTTCCTGAACAACACCGTATCCATGCAGAGCAAAGTCAAGCGCTTCTTTGAGAGCATCAGTCTTAACGTTGACAACCCACATTTCATGGTATTGCAGGGGACGGTGCACAAACTCATTGGCATGCGCTCGCAAGACATCCTCTCCCTCATAGAGGAAGCCGTCGGAACGAAGGCGTTTGATCACCGTCGACGCACTGCCGAGAGTCTGATTCGCAGCAAGGAAAAGAAAATGGAAGAGATTGACAATAACATTGAGACACAGATAGGCCCTATGCTGCGTGCCATGAAGGCAGACCAGGACGAGTATGAGCGCTTTGTGCAGATGAGTGAGGGCATAGAAGAGAGGCGGCGATTTCGTGTCGCCTTTGAGTACCACGAGCAGCGAAAACAGTTGGAGCAACGCACGGAGCGGTGCGCCGCACTTGAGAGAGACGTCGCCTCATCCAAGGAGCAAGTGCAGTTCCTGCCCGCATCGGAGGATGCCGCTACGCGGAGACTGATGGAGCTGCAACAATCCCTTGCGGCGCCCGCGGAGGCGGTGATTTCCCTCCACGAAGAGGAAGCTGCACTTAAAAAGCAGCTGGCGCGGGATGAGGCACACGTGGAGGGGGCCGAAAAGGCCTTGCGCCTTCTCAAGGACAACGCCCGCAAACTGGAAAGAGAAAAGGAGAAGCAGCAGGGTAGAATGGAAAAGTTTGCGTCCAAAAAGGAGCAGCGAGACGCACTTGTGGAGCGTCTCCGTGTGGAGAAGGAGAATGTTGCAAAGCTGAAGCGCTCGTTACAGTTGCAAATCTCGGGGGTGCGAGCCGGTATTTCCGGCATGTCGTTAGAAGAAGAGCGTGCCGACATTGAACGCCGGCTGATTCACCACGGCGCAGAAGTACGACGGTGTGACGAGCGCGTCAAGGAGCTGGAACGGCAACTGCAACACTTTCAACAGAAGACGGCTGCACGGAGTGAAACGATTGCAAAGCTTGAAGCAGAACTAGCGAGGGCACGTGAACGCCTTGATGCGGAGACGGAGACGTATGCAACAGTGGCCCCGCTTGAGGCGCGTGGACGTGCATTGCAGGAGGAACTTGCGCAGCTAAAGGCAGAGCACTGGAAAGCGAACGATGCACTGCAACGTGAGATGGGCAATGGTGGTCGTGGCTTCGATGTGGAGTACGACCGACGCGCTTGCCCAGGTATTGACCAACATATTCATGGCCGCGTTGCAGAGCTCATTGTGCCAAGGGAGGAAAAGTATGCAATGGCCCTTATGGTTGGGGCGCAAACGCAACTACTGCGTGTTGTTGTAACAAATGATCTTGTGGCGGAAAAGGTTATTCGTCATGGGCTGCGGCAACGCACGGCATTCCTTCCGTTGAATACGTTGCAGCGGCCCAAGGGTGTTGATGGAGCTCGCATGGAGGAGGCGAAACGGATTGCTGCGCGAATGGGGGGCTTCCTCGCCATTGCAAAAGACTTGATAGAAATTAAAGATGAATCCCACCGCATCGTAGCGGAGCATGTCTACGGGCAGTTCTTTGTCTGCTCCTCACTGGCCCTGGCTCAGGAGCTTGCGTACAATCCAGCCGTGCGATGCAAGGCTGTCTCGCTTGATGGGGACGTGGCGGAGCCGAATGGACTCATGACGGGTGGATCGACGCAGCAGCTTCGTGACATTTTCGCGGAGGTTCGTGCGTACCATCAGCGCAAGGCCCCTGTAAAAGAGCTGCGGGCAAAAATTGCCCGGGTGGAGAAGGAGTTGGAGGTCGTTCAGGAGCAGCTGCGACAACAGGCGCCCCTGCTACGGCGGTACAAGGAGGCGGAGGAGGCGTTGAGGCTGGCAGAGCACAAGCTTCAGCTTGAACGCGGCGATAACAGCGGGCCTGTGGAGGAGTTGGGTGCCGCGCTTGATGAGGAACGGCGCAAACACGAGGTGGAAGTTGTGGCACTGCGGGAGCTAAAGGAACGCAAGGCGGCGCTGGAGCGGCACACCCGTGAAGACCCCGACGAGGCGCGCAGAGAACTCCAGAAGCAGCTCTCTGCGGCACAGGAGCGATGTAGTGCCCTCGCCCGCGAGGAAGAGGCGGGGTCGGCGGAGTTTGAGCGAATGGAGGCGGATGTCACGCAGTTGGCGGCGGATCTGGAGCGGAAGCTGACGGAAGTGGAGGAAGAGATATCGCACCGCACTGCGGCCCGTGACGGAGCCAAGTTACAACTGGGCGAAACAGGCGGAAAGCTGCAGAACGTGATAGAGCAGCTACAACGGATGGAGGAGCAGCGGCAGCGACTTGAGAAGGAGGTGGAGGAGGTGCAACACGAACTACAACAGCTCTTGGTGAAAAAGACATCCCTTGAAACATTTATAAAAAATGCCGAGGTGGACCTTCGTGACACGGCGAAGGCGACAGAGGAGCTACAGAAATCCGTACATGAGGCAGAACGGCGCCACGCCTGGTTAGTGGAGGAACGACACACCTTTGGACGAAGCGAGGGTCCGTATTACTTTGACGACAAGGTAAGAACGGCTGCCACGTTGCAGGAATTACGCGAGGCTGAGTCTCAGGCCGCAGTGATGTCCAAACGCCTAAATCGCAAAGCCACGATCCTCTACGAGGAACGTAAAAAGGAATACGATGAGTTGGTGCTGCAACGCTCC